CCCCCAAGTTTGGCTTTAAATTAAATCAAGATGAGCCATAGAAAAATAATCCAGAGTTTTTCTGCCATTAGGTGCAGGAAGGCAAAAGCTCTTCATAAAGCAAATTCAGCCAAACAAATGATGAATACATATAGATCTACTAATCTAGTATTTAAAAATTCGAGTTAAACTTTCCCTTGTGACATTTGAACAGGAAACTGTATTTTTCATTCTTACGTTCAGTTATTTTTTTTTTTTAGTATACCAAATAAGTAGTGCTTTCTTCTGTATGTATTAAACTTTGGTTTATATTGATTTTAAGAACTAAAGTAGACCATTTACAGCACGTAAACTAAAGCTCCCTCTATTGCTGTTTTAAGTAAGTCTAATTTTAGACATTCGTAACACAAGAGTGACAACTCTGGACTTACTAAAAGTAAAAAAAGTGAACTTAATGTTGTTTTGTAGCCTGATCAATTGTTTTTCTACACAGAGTAGTGATAACTGAAACAAAAACCGTTACTAATTGTGTTTTTGGACAACGTTCAATGAAACAAAGCATTAAAAAGTACACTGTTTGATAAAGAAATTACCTGCCCATTGTGAAAAAGATCTAGCTGCTAGTCAACCTTAACTTCACATGGCCCAGAGCCTTGCTGATAGCTCTTTATAATAAAAAAAAAAAACCGGAGTGACTATTTGTGTCTGTAAGACATATTAAGAGCTAAAAATAGATGATGTTATTAAAAAAAACCTGACATCACTGATCAGCCTGACAGAAGCAGTGATGAGTTGTTTAAATTCATTCGAGCAAACACATATTATACGCTGTGCATAATAATATTTAAAAAAGCTTGGATATCTATATCCTATACTTTACATCATGCATTTTAGACACGAGCCTATTTTTGGCTGCTTCTATCCATCATCATCCCAAGAAAATAATTATGATTTATGATTGATGATACTGTTATTATTACTATGTTTAATATATCAAGTCAGTGAGTTATTGTCAAGTGAGTGAAATAAGTTCCTCAGATTAGTAGATCTAGCTTGTTTAAGTGACTTAAATACAAAGACGGGGCAAAATTGCAGTTTTTAGATTTGATATCAACTAACTGAAAGGTAGGCTTTGATCAGACCAGGCTCTTAATCTTTTCGAAAATTTTCTTCAAAACATAGATCTGGATCTAATCTGTCAAGATTCTTATCAGTCTAATTCTTACCAGTGAAATGAGAGAGGGGTTCCTTTCGAGGCTCTGTTAGTACACTGATAAGTTAAATGCAGCAGTGTTGCACCATCCTATCTGGTCTCGTTTTATTGTAAAAAAAAGTCTCTAAGGCTGTAATTCTCCTTCTCCTCCTCCTCCTCCTCCTCCGCCTCCTCCTCCGCCT